GCTCAGCATAACACCCTCAAGGTCCATCCATGTTGCTACACATGGCCAGATTTCATTGTTTCTCATTGCCATGTAGTATTCCATGGTATAGATAAACCACATCTTCTTGATCCATTCGTCCGTTGATGGACACTTAGGCTCTTTCCATGTTTTAGCTATTGTGGAGAGTGCTGCTATGAACATTGGGGTACATGTGCTCTTATGCATCAGCATTTCTGTATCCCTTGGGTAAATTCCTAGCAGTGCTATTGCTGGGTCATGGGGGAGTTCTATTATTAGTTTCCTGAGAAACCTCCACACTGTTTTCCAGAGGGGCTGTACCCGTTTACATTCCCACCAACAGTGTAGGAGGGTGCCCGTTTCTCCACATCCTCGCCAGCATCTAGAATTCTCTGATTTGCTCATTTTAGCCACTCTGACTGGCATGAGGTGGTATCTCAGTGTGGTTTTGATTTGTATTTCCCTGATGAGGAGGGATGCTGAGCATCGTTCCATGTGTCTGTGGGCCATCTGGATGTCCTCTTTGGAGAAGTGTCTGTTCATATCTTCTACCCATTTCTTCACTGGGTTGTTTGTTTTTCGGGTGTGGAGTTTGGTGAGTTCCTTATAGATTTTGGATATTAACCCTTTATCTGATATGTCATTTACAACTATCTTTTCCCATTCCGTTGGTTGCCTATTAGTTTTGTGGGTTGTTTCCTTGGCTGTGCAGAAGCTTTTAATCTTGATGAGGTCCCAATCATTTATTTTTGCTCTCGATTCCCTTGCTTTTGGGGATGATGACACTTGTATTTTTACTGTGGATATTATGCTGGTGACTTGCTGGCATTATCAAGGCCCTGAGTGACCTGGTAAACATTTCACTGTTGCACTGTTGGAAGGGACATTTTCTTTTCTTTTCTTTTCTTTTTTTAACATTTATTTATTTTTGAGAGACAGAGCATGAGGAGGGGAGAGGCAGAGAGAGGGAGACAAAGAATCTGAAGCAGGCTCTAGGCTCTGAGTTCTCAGCACAGAGCCTGATGTGGGGCTTGAACTCACAAACAGCGAGATCATGACCTAAGCTGAAGTCGAATGCTTAACTGACTGAGCCACCCAGGAGCCCCAGAAGGGACATTTTCATTAGACATTCATGAGTGTGGCACCAACACCAGAGGTTAGCACAACTTTGCAGTGGTGTCCCCCTGGTTAGTTGTGAGTTTGGTGAGTTCCCTCTAAACTCACCTCCAGAGCTCTGCACAGTTGAATTGATAAGCTTCCTTCAGAGGCAGGAATAGGTTATCTAAGAGGCCATCTTTACAGGCTTACAGCTTCTTTAAAACATCAGGCGGTCTAGCAGCAGGATGTAAAAGTTGCATCTAGGGGCGCCTGACTGGCTCAGTCAGAAGAGCATGCGACTCTTGATCTTGGGGTTGTGAGTTCGAGCCCCACGCAGGTGTAGAGATTACTTAAATGAATAAGTAAAAACTTAAAACAAAATTGCTTCTGACCATCAGGCGCTCTGTCGCATAGATGTCATCTAGGCATGGCAGGGAAGTCTAAACTTTAAACCCCCGATAAGCCTTCAGGGAGGACCACAGGATCCCCAGGGTGCCTGCTGAGCACTGAGCCCTTGCAGGCCCCCTGCCAGCCTCTGGTTGGGAGGATAAAGGAACAGGCACGGGGCGGGGGGGGTGAGGGGGGCAGGGTAAAGTGGGGTGGTGCCAACTGGGTCCATCCTCCTGTTTCAGCGCTGTGAAGAGCCTTGTTGACAGCAGCGTCTACTTCCGCAGCGTGGAGGGTCTTCTCAAACAGGCCATCAGCATCCGGGACCACATGAATGCTGCCGCCCAGGGCCACAGGTAGCTCCAGGGACCACCCGCTCCTGCTCTCAGCCCCCTCGCTGTAAGGACTTTGCTTCTCAGACAAGAACTGCTGCTTCTCACTCCTTAGACAACTCCCTTTCCTCATCTCATGGTGTCTGGTGGCTTCCTCTCGTCCTTTGGTGTCTGTAGCGGAAGCGTTTGGCCACCCAGCACCCAGGTCCTGAGCTCTGCCGTATGCCCGGCACCGGGTTGGGCACCGGGTACGCAGCGGTGCCCAATACACATGTTACGGGGAGGCACACAGCAGCCCGGTAAACGTGGAACAGATGAGCATTTCAGATGTGTGAAGGAAGGGAAGGGAGGTAGGGAGCCTCTCCGAAGAGGTGGGAGCAGAGTCCTGAACACCACGCAGACGGAGGTGACCTGGGGAGGGGGTTCCAGGTTGGACAGCGGTGGACAGAGGCTGGTGACCTGGGTGTGTTGGAGAAACATCTAGGAGGCGAGTGTGGCTGGAGGGGGTGAGCACGAGGGAGACAGAGCCCGTGAGGCTTGCAGGGGAGGGTGCCTGGAGCCAAAGGAGGCTTCGAGCCAAGGACCAGATGGCCTTAAAGTGAAAAGCACTTACAGTTCTCGCACCCTGGGGAGAGAGTTTTTGTCATCATTTACATTATAACTTAATAAACATGCACTTGGGCACACGCGCACATGCTGTACATTGTAACTCTCCTTTGATGTACGTCCGACTCCTGCACTTGGGGGCATGCCTGGCATGCCTGGCCCCCTCTAGACGTTTAGAAAGAGGAAAAAAATCTGTTACTGCTTCTGAAAACTGAGACTCAAGGATCGTCAAAAACAAAAAATCCTGGTGAACGTGTAAGAATGGACGTGCAGCCATCTTCTTGCAGAGGGTAGCATGACAAGGGTCCATCTGGGCTCGTTTGCATTGAAGAAACTGTCTGGGCTTGGCTGCTCTGCTGTGGGTTGGTGCAAGCTATCGGGGCTAGAGTTTACCGGGTCGTGTCACACACAGCGCCCCATGCACGGTAGGGCCGCAAAAAGCCAGAGCTTTTACTGTTTTTTTTGTTTTGTTTTGTTTCGTTTCGTTTTGAGAGAGAGAACGTGAGAGAGTTAGAGCAGGGGAGGGGTGGGGCGGAGGGAGAGAATCACAATACACACTGAGTGGAGCCTGACATGGGGCTCGATCCCACGACCACAAGATGATGACCTGAGCCAATATTGAGAGTGGGGTCATTAACCGACTGAGCCACCCCAGTGCCCCCATACCTTTTATTTTTAATTCATGGTTTCCCAAGTGCTGTAGATGCCTTGCTTGTGCCTGCTTCTGAAAGATGCTTCTAGCAGCTTAAAGTGCTGCTAACACTTCTCTTGGCAAACCCTGCGGGTTTGAAGTGCCCAGTCCTGCATGAGTCCTGACCATGACCTCTGAAGTGGGCGTCTGGTCCCATTTTTACAGAGGATGCCCTGAAGGCTGAGGCCAGGGGTCTTAGGGGCCTGGAGGGTGACCCAAACCCATCTCCAGCCTAACTGAGCACACCTGATGGCCTCTGACATTGGCCTCAAGGACGCTGCCCATGTTTTGTTCCAGCCCCGAGGAACCACCCCTGCCCTCCTCAGCTTGATTCCGGAAGAAACTTGGAGGTGCTTTGGCTCCTCTGGCTCAGGTCAGTGCCGAGTGGGGTCGTGAGCCTCTGTAGTCTGTGCTCTGAACTAACCCACCCTCTCAGTGTCCGAGAAGGGATCTGCTTGTCTAACCTTTTGGGCTTTCTCCCCGGGCTTGTAGGACGCTTTCAGCAGTGGGAGGCTTCAGCGTGGCAGGGACCTTGAGCCCTCTGCTGCTCAGGATGTTGTCAACCCGTCTCCCTCGTGCTCTCTGTGCCAGCCCCCTGCCCCTTATCCAGGCCACAGGCCCTACCTCGATCCCAAGTTCCCCCTGCCAAGACAGAAAGGGGAGCTCACGTTTTGTGGCTTTACTAACACACATTCTCTCAGGCAGAGCCCAGCATGACGGCTACCCACCCAGCTTAGGAATCTTCGCTCCACTGCTGACCTGCTGTGTGACCCCGAGGAAGTCCCTCTCCTCTCTGGTCTCTGCTTTTTCCCTTCTGTCAGAGTGGTTCAGCAGGCAGCAGAGGGTGCTGCTGCCTAGTGATGTGTGTTGTAGCAATTGGCTACTGCTGCATGACAAACTATCGCCAAACTTAGTGGCCGACAACCCCAGTCCTTTGCCTGCTCACAGTCCTGCGACTTGGGCTGGGCCCGGCTGGGCAGTGTCCTGGGCTTGCAACTCTCTGGCTCTCATCAGACTTCGAAGGGGCTGCATAGGAAGAGGTGGCCTTGCTCACACATCTGGATCTTGACCCGTGCCGTCGGCTGCAGGGGTCCCGTCCTCCTCTGCATGGCCTCCCCAGCAGGCCAGCCTAGGCTTTTCCTGGTGACCGGGTGCCAAGAGGGCAGCCCTCATGTACCTATGCCCACCTCACCTCTTCTTGCTTCATACTGCGGATGCTCCATGGTCAAGGCCAGCCATGCAGCCAGGCCAAGACCCTGATGGGAGAGGACTGCAGGAAGGCGTCAGTACTGGGAGGTGTGATCGACCACGCGAGGAGAGCATGGCACCAAGAAAGGCCTGGCACATTGTCACTCTGTGCCCGTGTAGGGCAGAGCCCGGCAGAAGGGAGGGATCCAAGGGACTTCCTGAGCCCTGGCTGTTGTAGTTCCCAAAGCCCTGCCCATTTGCCAGGTACTGCGGTGGTGCTCTGTGCCACAGAGCAACAGTCTCCAGAGACCAGAGGCAACGGAGTTGATGTGTATGCAGTTAACCTGCGATGTTCAGTTATTAAGCACCTGCTGTATACTAGGCTTAGCTCTGTGGCTGGGGTTGGTGAGGAATCCCGCCGGATGTGGGATTGCCTAGGGAGTGTCTGGGAGGGCCTGGGGCAGGAGGGGCTGCCAAGAGGGTCAGCAGCCCTCCCCCCCCGTGGTCCACACAGTGTCGCCCACCAGCCCCGGCCCACACCCCGCCACCTCCCCACCCCCATCTCTTTGCCCTGGTCACTCCCAGCACCCAGCCTCAAGGACAGCGCCCTGATGCCCCCCCCCCACACCCTGTGTCGTCTGCTGTCCCTCTGCTGCCGTGCCCCCTTGAAATAAAATTCTCTGTGGCTTCTCCTGATCCTGCCTTTATCCCTGCAGACCCTGCTCCCTGCCTCCTCAGAATTGTTGCCCCATTGCCCTTCCCGGAGCCTTCCACCCCCACTTTCCCCCCAAACTGCTCCCTGCAAGGTGATTGGTAACCTTTACTGGGTCGAGTCACAGTCTCCCCTGGCCTCTGACTTCACCTGCCTCTCCAGTCCAGGGCCTCTAGCACAGTCCCGTTTATAGAAAAGGAAACAGGCTCACAGAGGTCAGGCGTAGTCACCACCCTTGACCAGAAGTGTGGGGAGTCCTGCCCCTGGGTGTCACCTCTTCCCCCATCCCACCCAGCACCTCCTGTCTCAGGTGCCACCTCGTCAGGGTGACCTTGCAACCCTGAGGATCTCTCGGGCCTCTCCCTGACCCTTGCCCCTCACTCCCTGGTCCCACTACAGCTAGGCCTTTGGACGCACCTTCATGGGGTCTGGTAGGGACTGAAGACCAAGCAGGTGTGGCCAGCACATTCCTCTTGCTTCTGCTCAGCGCTGCCTCTGGGCCCCTCTGCGAATGTCTGGAGACAAGGCTTTGCTGCCTCTGGACTCCTGCCTGCCCCCCATTCATCATGGACACGGTCATGGTCACAGCCCCCCAGACCAGTAACTGCCACCCTGTTAATCCTGAACAACCACCCACAGTGTGCCTGGAACTATGCTGGGGGCTTTGCAAGGCTCGTCTTCTCATCCTTCATCCTCAGGCAGCCCTGTAAGGCAGGTGTCACCCCCAAATACAAATGCGGAGAGAGAGCCTTTGAGCGGTGGCATGACCTGTACAAAGTCACACAGCAGACTCCAGACTGGCTTAGTCCTAGCTGTGCCTCATGCTGTGTGACATGGGGCCTAGAGCTGGGTCTCTCTTGGCCACCTTTGCTTTCTTTCTTTTTTTTCTTCTTTTGAAGATGACTACTGTTTTTTGAACATTTATTTGTTTTTGAGAGAGAGCATGAGTGGGGGAGGGGGGAAAGAGGGGGAGAGAGAGAGAGAGCGAGAGAGAGAGAGAGAGAGAGAGAGAGAGAGAGAGAGAGAGAATCTGAAGCAGGCTCCAGGCTCTGAGCTGTCACCACAGAGCCTGACACAGGGCTCGAATCCACAAACCATGAGATAAAGACCTGAGCCAAAGTCGGATGCTTAACTAACTGAGCCACTCAGGCGCCCCTGGTCCTCCTTTTCTCCATCTGGATAAAGAAGCCTGGACTGGACCTTCTCACAGGCTGAGGTGGACATTTGTGTACCTGCCTGCCTGGTCTGCATTCTGTCTTGAGCAGAAATGCCCACCCCAGGCTCAGGCCATATGGAAAAGCCACTTTTAATTTCCGGTGTGGATGTGGGACACTAGCCTGGCCAATCACAACCACCACCTCCCAAGTCACAAAGATTGGGTAGAGATGAGCATGTGACCTGGTGAGAGGTCTCACTCAAGAATTTTGCTGGGAAGGCTGAGAAAGTCATGGTCTTCCCACTAGGGTTGTTGAGCTAGGCAGATGGAAGGGGAGATCAAGAACACTGCATGGAGTCCTGGATCCAACTGTACCGGACACTGGTAAATTTTGATTATTCAGTTTCACTGGTCTCTAACTTACTGTATTTGCCAAAATTGCCTTGAGTCCATTTCTGCTGACTGCAGAAAAGCCCACACTGACCCCTGTGAATTTCAAGCCTGGAAGATCAGGGTCCACTTGGTCCACACACCTCCAAGGCCCCCTGTGTGCCAGTGCCATAGCCAGCACCAGATATCAGGACGATCAGAATGGAGTTGGTTGAATATAGTCCAGGTGAGTCCCAGGCCGATTGCTCTGAGAGCATCTCCCCACCCCTCCCTTGGTGGTGTGAGTGGTTGGAAGAGAGAGGTGGCAAGGGTCAAGGGTACCCTATGGGAGAGAGGGGGTCCTGTGGAGGGGCCTGAGAGAATAGGAGGGGGTTCATGGACACAGGAGGTATGGAAGAAGGATCACCTCCCACTGCCAGGAAATAGGAGTCCATTCTTTCTCCCCTTTCTAGGGTGTATTAGGGGCCTACTGTGCCGCCATCATGCCTCCCCACTTAACCCCAGCTCGGATTGTGGGGAGGGAGAATCCTCCGGTCCACCTGATTAGAGGCTCTGACTGGTGTGTGCTCCACCCTCCCCAAGTCACTCACTATTTGCCCACTCTGAAGGCACTCATTGTCTCTCTGTCCTTCCACATGTCCATCAAGCAGTCATTTATCCAGCAAACATTGACTGCCCTCTGTTGGCCAGGCCCTGCAGAGGATGCCCTGGTGAGCATGACGGGCTGGCTCTGTCAGACCTGCAGGACAGAAAGGCAGCTAAGTGAGGGGATTGCATATTTTCCAGGGGCTGCCTTGGGCTGTTCTTGTGCTGTGAGCTAGTAGGATGCAGCTTTGGGGTGCCCCAGACCCTCCTAGGGCTCCCCATCACGCACAGCCCCTAGGTGCAATCTCAACTACTGACTAATAATAGTCTTCTCCATTCGAAGATCAGGACTTTGGACTGAAGACCCCTCACGACTCCAAGTCAGAGGGCTCTGAACTTGGCTGGCTGGTTTATTTGCATTTTATTTGCCTGTCCATCCCACACTTCCCACCTAGAGAACGCCCACGCCCGCTGGGCCACCAGGGGGCGCAAGAGGCAAAGCCTTGGCCAGGCCTCCGAAGTGGTCATTGTCCACTTTCCTGGCCGGTCCTTGTGGATGCATTGTAATCCTCCATCCCTTTTCACCCCATACGCCCTCACCCCCATTTTTCAGAGAGTGAACTAAGATTCCATGAGGCAGGATTCCCCAGCAGGACCTTGCACCTGCCCCCATGTGCTCCTGGGCTGTGCTGGCAGCCTCCCTTCCTCACCAGGGTGGAGGTGTGGGCACTCCCAGCCCCGACTCAGTAGCATTTGCTCCCAGGAAAGCCCCAGAGACAGGAGGTGGGGGAGGCTGGGAGAGAGGCAATGAGTTCCCTGTGCTATGGGGCATTCAAGCTGGAGCCTAGCACCCAGGAAGGTGGGGATGACCTGGAAGTGATCTTGTGGGTCACCCTAGTCTCTTTCAAATCTGTGGATGGGGTAAAAGGAGGCCACATAGGGCACTGACTTGCCTCTAGTTGGTCCACAGTGGTCAGAATGGGAATCAGACTTCAGTTTTGGCTCTTTGTCCTTAGCCAAAATCTAAGTTCTGGTTTTTATTTCAGGCCTGCTCTATACTCCCAGAGGGGTTCTACCACTGGGAAACCCCTTCCTAGCTCTGCCACATCCCCCAGCCAGGTCTCCGAATGCCTCAAGCTTGGTCCCTATGCCCCTCCATCACCCAGACCCTCTCCAGGGCTCTCCAGTTCTTCAAGAAACCCTTGGAGACACCCCTTTGGTGCCAGTACACAGGAGACTCCGCCCAGGGGAGCCTCCAATGTGGGGGGAACAGAGTCAGACAGACATCTCCAACCCCCTGGGTCAACACTGGGCTGGAAGGAGGGATGGGGGTAGAGAAACCCCAAATGGAAGGAGGGGGCATTAAAGGTGGGCCTTGAAATGATTCTAGCCTCCAGGAGGAGGGGCTGCTATTTTCCCCACTTTCACATGAGCAAATAAGCTCACAGTGGTGCCGTGACCAGCTTGAGGTCATGTGGTGAGTGGGAAACAGAGCCGGGATGGGGACCCAGGCTCTCCAACCCTGAGGCCCTGCCTGCTGGACCACACTGCACGTGCCATGAAGGGTTCATCAAAGCCTTCCCCTTCTGACACTGTGGGAGAGGATCTAGAGGAAGGGGATTTGGGAGAAGCAGCTTTTCCACCTCCCTACCTTCTCACTCCTGCCCCCCCCCCCCCCCCCCCCCCCCCCCCCCCCGTCCTCCGGGCCCCCTTCCCAGATCCTCTCTGTGGCCCTGTTCACTCTCTTCTCCCCCTCAACCCTCCCTCCTCCCCTCCAGCCTCTTACTCTAGCAACTAAGGGTGTCCCCTCAACTGAGAAGACTGAGGTAGGGACTTTGACTGCCCTGATAGGGGATGAAGTTTCACATGGGGTGACACAGCCAGTGATGGGGGAGGGTACAGGACAGGGACTGGGGTAAAGACAAAAAGGAGGAGCTGTTACAGGAAACAGAGTACAAATGATAGAAGACAGAACTGACCAGGGTGGGAAAGGGACATGGGGGGGGGCAGGAACACAGGAGGGAGTCCTAGTGGTGGGAGGGGCAGAGGGAAGGACCCATGGTGAGGGGGGGGGCAGGCCCAGCCAGCTCAGATCAGACAGACCCTTCCCTACACACCCTGGCTGCTCCCAGAGCTGCTCCAGCTGCTGCCCTCACGTAACCAGAGCCTGCCTGTTGCATCAGAGGCAGGCGGGCAGCCACGGGTAAACAGAGCAGCCCTCGGGGGGCCCGGGGCTCCCCAGCCACCTCCATGCTCCCCAAGCCTCGTTCTATGCCTTGGAGCCCAGGCAGAAGCCCCCATCCTAGCCTGGCTTCTGTGTGTCCTTGCGACACCTGGGTGTTTGGTGTTGGGCACTGATGTAGGGGCAGAGGCAGGACCCCTGGACCTTATGCCTCTGTGAACCCTAGTTTATGTCCAAAGATGAAAGCTTTACCCAGATTAGGGATCCAAACTGCCCATGTCACAGATGGGTAGATTGAAGTTTGAGGTAGAACCCCAGTTCCCTGCCTCAGTGTCCCCCACACACTGACATCTCTACATGCTCCCCACGGAATCCAAGATTCTAGCTAGATTCCCCTGTTGTCCTCCAGGAAGGTAGGTACCAGATAGCCGTTGCAGCCCACCTGATTCCCCATTTTATCTGCCCCAGATCGACCCCCTCCTCTCTTTCTCCTAGCCTCCCTTTGGATGCCCAGGCAATCTACTTCTGCCCTCTTCTCTGGCTCCATTTCCCTTATGTCCCCCACCAAAAAATACACCGTGCCTCTGCATCTTTGCAAGTGCTGTTGCCTCTTGGAAAACCCTTCTCCCAGTGGCAAACTCCTGTTCATGCTTCAAAGCCCTGTAAAGTGC